CAATATATGAGTAAAGAGTCTGTCAGAAACAGTAATATGCTGTAGGAGATATTGATGAAAAGCTTGAAGCTTTGATTTAATATTATAAAGATAATACTCAGGATACTAGAATATTAGTTTACTAATCATGAAACCTTTAGATGATGACTTGACTTAGCCAATGTGATGAATTTATATGCCTGTGTAAAATGTCCAGAGCCAACAATATTTTGACAAATTCATCTGCTGATATATAGCCCACTTCGCAAAGCTCAAAAATTGGTTGCTATGTCAGCCTTATCACCAATGGCTGTACCAGCTGAGATACTGCAGATCTTTTGATAAAATTCTCTTTATGTACATGTAATTATCTTCAGTTTTCATTTTAGGTTAGCTGCAAGGCTTTTTTTTTTTAACGTTTGCTGATAATGTTGGTAAGCTGTGTTTAATAAATGGTTATATATTCAAGGCTTGATTTTAAAAAACTACATATTTTTGTACACAGCATGATTGACTTTAGTGAAGCAATAGTTTCTTCCTAAAGTCTTATAAATATGTTGCTGTCATAATTCAGTGCAAAAATTTTAGTTCATTAATTTTGTGCCATAAGCTAGAAGTAATATAGAAAGGTGGTGTTTTCTTACAATCTTTGCAAAGCCAGACAGATTTGGTAACAGTTGGCCTAGTAGATTTTGTCCATAGAATATTGCATTTTAAAAGACCTGAGCTTACTTGTAAGCTGGTGTACTGATTTTGTTGTAGGAAGAGAGGGGTGGGATTTATGGTTTTGATAGCCATGTTATTTAATTTTTTTTCTCTTGTACCCACTGATGGCAGATGATAGTGTTATAAAAATTAAACGTGATTAGTAGTAGCTGCGTGTCAGTTAATTTAATCTTTTTTGTCCTCCCAGTTTAAATTTCCAGTTTTGCCCTTCCTCAAGAATATATGGTTTTACAGCTGTGGATCTCAAGCCAAGTGGTGAAGATGAGGTAAAAAGTTTGGTTTTTTTCTTTCTTTTTTTTCTTTTTTTTCTTTTTTTTTGGAGATGGAGACTTCCTCTGTTGTCCAGGCTAGAGTGCAGTGGTGCAGTCTTGGCTCACTGCAACCTCCAGCTCCGGAGTTTAAGCAGTTCCCTGCCTCAGTCTTCCAAGTAGCTAGAATTACAGGCACCTGCCACCATGCCTGGCTAATTTTTGTATTTTTAGTAGAGACAAGGTTTCACCATCTTGGCCAGGCTGGTCTTGAACTCCTGACCTCATGATCCACCTGCCTCAGCTTCCCAAAGTGTTGGGATTACAGGCATGAGCCACTGTGCCCTGCCAAAAGTTTGCTTTTAATATAGCCATAAATTCTGAAACATCCTCTTAACAAGGCCAGTTGTACTAGGCACTCCTGAAATATTCCTAGATATTAACAATAATACTGACAAATTTTCTTTTGCAGATGATAACAATGGATAATGCAGAAGAATATGTGGATTTGATGTTTGACTTTTGTATGCATACGGGTATTCAGAAACAAATGGAAGCCTTTAGAGGTAATTTTAAAGGATTTTTAGCATAATTGTTCTCCTTTTACAGTTGAAATTAAGGTCAAGAATTGCTGGTGGTCAGGTGTGGTGGCTCACACCTGTAATCTCAGCACTTTGGGAGGCTGAGGCAGGAGGATTGCTTGAGCTCAGGAGTTCAAGACCAGCCTGGACAACATGGCAAGACCCCATCTCTACAAAACATTTTTTAAAAAATTAACCAGATGTGGTGGCATGTGCCTGTGGTCCCAGCTACCCGGGAGGCTGACTTGGGAGAATAGTCTGAACCCAGGAGGCTGAGGCTACAGTGAACCATGTTTGGGGCACTGCACTCCAGCCTGCACAACAGAGGAAGACCTTTCAGAAAGAAAGAAAGAGAGAGACAGAGAGAGAGAGAGAGAAAAGAGGGAGGGATGGAGGGAAAGAAAGAAAGAAGAGTGGACATAAGGTTGCATATATTCTAGATTCATCTCATGAATTAAACTATGAAAGAATCATGATGGGAACAAAGTATATTACACTGTAAATTACTTTTGAAAATGAGAACACAGTTTTTTGCCTGACTTGTATGACAGAAAGAGCTGGCAAACTCCAGACTGAGTAGTAATAAGAATTTGCCTATTAACCATTACAACTGAATGTTACCCCTCTGTTCACATTTGTGCTGTTAAGCAGGGATTTCTGATTTAAAACAGTTTTAATTTCAAGCTATCTTAATTTATGCTTGTTTGTTCAAACATTTATGAATGTTTTCTTCATCTTCTGTCCATTTCATTGGTAATGGGTATTTTTTCATTGTTGCATAATATATGTACATGTTTATGGGGCACACATATTTTGATACACAGAATGTGTAACGATAAAATCTGTATATAGGATATTCATCATCTTGGACATTTATCATTTCTATGTGTTGGGAACATTCGAATTATTCTCTTCTAGCTTCTTCAGAATATACAATATATTATTGTTAACTATAGTCACCCTACTATGCTAGAAAACATTAGAACTTACTCCTTTTATTTAATTGTAAGTTTATATCCATTAACCTACCTCTCTGCATCCACCTCCACATGCGTGTTCCCAGCCTCTGGTGTCAATCATTCTTTACCTTTATGAGATCAACTTTTTAAGCTCCCACATATGAGTGAGAACATGTGATATTTATCTTTCTGTGCTTGGCTTATTTCACTTAATAGATTTCATTCCTTTTTATGGTTGCATAGTATTCTATTGTGTATATATACCACATTTTCTTTAGACATTCATCACTTGATAGACACTTAGATTGGTTCTGATAATGGGTATTTTGGTTTGAAATTTGGTATTTTGGAACCATAACTTGGAAATTGAGTTGTGTTTTTTTTGTGTGTTTCTGTTGTGTGTACGATGTAGATGGGTTTAATAAAGTTTTTCCAATGGAGAAATTAAGTTCCTTCAGCCATGAAGAAGTTCAAATGATTCTTTGTGGAAACCAGTCACCGTCCTGGGCAGCAGAGGATATTATCAATTACACTGAACCTAAGCTGGGTTATACGCGTGATAGGTATGTGTTACTATTTTCTAAGATCAACAAAATTGTTTATATTCCCCAAATCAAATGACAGATTCTCTAAAGAACTGTAACTCAGTGAATTACATTCATAAAGTAAGTGAGAAAGCAATGGTGTCTCACAATTACCAGAATACATATCCATTGATAAGGCTGGGAAGATACAAAAAGACAACTGATATCAGGCCAGGTGCAGTGGTTCACACCTGTAATCCCAGCACTTTGGGAGGCCAAGGCGGGCAGATCACTTGAGGTCAGGAGTTTGAGATCAGCCTGGCCATCATGGTAAAACCCAGCTCTACTAAAAATACCAAAAATTAGCTGGGCATGGTGGCACACGCCTGTAATCCCAGCTACTCAGGAGGCTGAGGCAGAAGAATTGCTTGAACCCAGGAGGTGGAGGTTGCAGTGGGTCATCGTGCCATTGCACTCCAGCCTGAGCAACAAGAATGAAACTCGAGAGAAAACAAAACAAAAAAAGACAATTGACATCATGGCTGATGTTGATTCCTTTTCTTATTGTGTTTTAATTATTCATTATTTAAAAAAATTTCTTAATTGTAACCTGTTAGGCTATACTACATTTGTATTAATTTTTTTTTTTGACATAGAGTTTTGCTCTTGTTGCCTAGGCTGGAGTGCAATGGCATGATCTTGGCTCACCGCAACCTCTGCTTCCTGGGTTCAAGCAGTTTTCCTGCCTCAGCCTTTGAGTAGCCGGGATTACGGGCATGCGCCACCATGCCCAGCTAATTTTGTATTTTTAGTAGAGATTGGTTTTCACCATGTTTGTCAGGCTGGTCTCGAACTCTTGACCTCAGGTGATCCATCTGCCTCGGCCTCCCAAGGTGCTGGGATTATAGGCATGAGCCGCCATGCATGGCCAGGGTTATTTTTAAAGTAGCTTGTATTAGCCCATTTCATACTTACCCAAGAGTCTTTAGATGTGCTCTTCTTCTGATGTGAGGATATTGTTTTTTTTTAGGCGGCTTGTTGCTGGCTTACAAAGTAGTGGTAGTGATTTTCATTTAAATCTGCTGTCAACTCAGTGTAACTATATTTTTGTTCTTTTAGCCCTGGTTTCCTGAGGTTTGTGAGGGTTTTATGTGGCATGTCTTCTGATGAAAGGAAAGCATTCTTGCAGTTTACCACTGGTTGTTCAACTCTGCCCCCAGGTGGACTGGCTAACCTGCATCCCAGGCTCACAGTTGTACGCAAGGTACAAGCTCTCTGGCTAATGGGGAATCCAAATGAAATTTAGTTACTTTAGTTTTGAAAGAAAGAAGTATTTAAACTCATGGTCTTCTGTTGTATTTGCTTTCTTTCTGTAGGTTGACGCTACTGATGCAAGCTATCCATCAGTCAATACATGTGTGCATTACCTTAAGTTGCCTGAATATTCTTCCGAGGAGATCATGAGAGAGCGCCTGCTAGCTGCTACAATGGAGAAAGGCTTTCATCTCAATTGAGCTTTGAAGTGCAATGGGAGACATCAGAGACTTTAAAAATACTAGTGAAGCCTCTTGTGTTTGTGTGCAGAGAAGTATACGATCCTCCACACTAATGACATTTGCCTTTTTTTCCACCATTAAGGCTTTAAGAACATGTGGAATAAGTTTGTTAGCTGCTAATGACAAAACAAATCCTTTACCCAGCCAGCAAGTATATAGCACAGAACACTGTGTTACTTTACAAGGGCTTATGTGACTGGAATAAGGTGGTCTTACTTGACTGTTCCAAAGAGCAGCTTCTCAGATCTTCAGTGTTCACTGGTAAATTTCTAACAGTGTATTTGTGTAAAGTTTGTCATTTCATACTCCATACACTACAGTTGCCGTCACTGATCCCTGTTTTGCTGGCTTTTAAGCTACATGGTCAAAAATCCTGCTTCCTTAAAACTTAAGAGAATTAATGAGCATCTCAAGCTTTTTCTTTTCCTTTTTAATGATGCCTGCACTATCAGAGTATTCTAGTGTTCTCTCTTTTGTTTGGCATATAATCATGCACAACCTTTTTATTTCTTTAAGGTGGGAGTATATTTTTATTTCCTAAATGCCGTACTATGAAGATCAAAGTCTTAAGTGTGTTTGTGCAGCTCAAAAATAAAGCTATATTAAGGGGGGGAAAACACTGGTCTAAGTGCAAGGCACACTTAAAGCAAGTTTTACTTTTGGTTGTTTTTTCTTTGTATATTATAAACATTTATTTAACTTGTTGCTGTTTGAAGTAAAAAATTTCCAAAATGTATGCTCAACAATAATCATTAAAATGTTTGCAGCGTACAAAACTGTCATGTGACTATTTCAGTGCAATCATCAGAGTGTCAAAAGAAAACACCAGGATACTGCTGTTTTCTGGTTTTGAAGAAGGGGCTGTATTTCCAAATTCCAGTTATTACATCTATGGTTATAGGTGAAAGAAATGACACTAGGCCTGAGTTAACCAAACAGTTTTTTTTTTGTTGTTTTTTTTTTTTGTTTTTTTAAGACAGGGTCTTGCTGTGTTATCCAGGCTGGTCTCAAACCCTTAGGTTCAAGCAGGTCTCCCACTGAAGCTTCCTGAGTAGCTGGGATTACAGGTGTATACCACCACACCTGGCTCATGGTTTTTTGTTTTTGTTTTTAACATTGAATGACCTCTGAACTTTTTATTGGCCCCCTGCTCCCCAAAGGGTCCCATGTTTCTGCTGGCCCAATGTCTCAGAACTTTGGTGGTGTTGGTCTCAGACACCACTTTGCCATCCACTATCCAGCAGGTGGTGGTCTTTTGGATGGTTTGCATGGGGTTGCTGCTGTCCAGGGCATCACTAAGACTGAAGTCCTCGCCATCTTCCAGCAGGCAGCGGTAGGTGGTGATCTCAGCCTCCAGCTTGACCTTGATGCTCAGCAGAGCCTCGTACTCCTGGGCTTGGCGCTGTCCCTCTGCCCGGGTCTGTGCCCGCTCTGACTCCAGGTGCAGAAGGATCCCATTGAGCTGCTCCATCTGCAGGGCGTAGTGGGCCTCCATCTCCCTCAGGCTGTTCTCCAAGCTGATCTTCGTATTTCTCATGGAGTCCAGGTCGATCTCCAAGGACTGGACTGTACATCTCAGCTCTGTGAGCGTCATCTCAGCTCTGTGAGCGTCATCTCAGCAGCTTCAACCTCAGCGGACTGTGTGGTGACCACTATGGTTCTCTCCTCAATCAGCTGAGTCCAGTACTTGTCCAGCTCCTCTCAGTTCTTCCGAGCCAGCTCGTCATATTGAGCCCGGATTTCTGCCATGATCTTGGTGAAGTCCTGAGATTTGGGGGCATCTACCTCCACGGTCAACCCAGAGCTGGCAATCTGGGCTTGTAGGCTGTTTACTTCCTCTTCATGGTTCTTCATGAAGTCAGCAGCTCCTCCTTGAGAGCCTCGATCTCTGTCTCCAGCTGCAGCCGAGTGACACTGGTGTCATCGATGACCTTGTGGAGCCCATGGATGTCACTCTCCACAGACTGGTGCATGGCCAGCTCTGTCTCATACTTGACTCTAAAGTTATCAGCAGTAAGACGGGCATTGTCCACAGTATTTGCAAAGATCTGAGCCCTCAGGTCCTTGATGGTCTTGAAGTAATGGCCCCAGTCTCTGACCTGGGGTCCCTTCTTCTCCAGGTGTTCTCGGATTTTGCTCTCTAGCTTCCGGTTCTCGGTCTCCAGGCTCCTCACTCTGTCCAGGTAGGAGGCCAGGCGGTCATTCAGGCTTTGCATGGTCTCCTTCTCGTTCTGGATGCCTCCCATTCCTGCAAGTCTCTAAGATGTCTCTCAGTAGTCAGCTTTTATCAAGACTAGCCTGGCACCACGGTTAGCAAACTATGGCCTGCTACCTGTTTTTGAATGGCCCATGGGCTAAACATAGCTTTAAAATTTTTAAATTGTTGAGAAAAAAAATAATAATTTTATGTGAAAATTATGAAATTTAGGCTGGGCATAGTGGCTCACGCCTGTAATCCCAACACGTGGAGGCTGAGGTGAGTGGATCACCTGAGGTCAGAAGTTTGAGACCAGCCTGACCAACAGGGAGCAACCCCATCTCTAGTAAAAATACAAAGCTAGCTGGGTGTGGTGGCACATGCCTGAAATCCCAGCTACTTGGGAGGATGAGGCAGGAGAACCACTTGAAACCAGGAGGTGGAGGCTGCAGTGAGCCAAAATCGTGCCATGGCATTCCAGCGTGGGCAACAAGCAAAACTCCGTCTCAAGAAAAAAAGAAAATCATGAAATTTACATTTGTGTGCACAAATAAAGTTTTATTAGAACACAGCCATGCTCATTTATTTACATGGTTGCTTTTGCACTACAGTGGCAGAATTGAGTGACCATATGGCACACAAAGCCTAAAATATTTACTATTTGGCCCTTTACAGAAAAAGCTTGCTAAACCCTGGTCTAGCAAGTGGCTACAGCAGATAAATTGATAACTTTACATAAAATTGGGCTGAGCACCGTGGCTCACACCTGTAATCCCAGCACTTTGGGAGGCCAAGGCAGGTGGATCACCTGAGGTCAGGAGTTTGAGACCAACATGGTGAAATGCTGTCTCTACTAAAAATACAAAAATTAGCCAGACATGGTGGCACATTCCTGTAATCCCAGCTACTTGGGAGGCTGAGGCAGGAGAATCGCTTGAACCCAGGAGACGGATGTTGCAGTGAGCTGAGACTGCCATTGCACTCCAGCCTGGGCAATAAGAGCGAAATGTTGTCTCAAAATAAAAAAAAAGCTTACATAAATTCGGTAGCTGTTTTTGAAATATTAGGAGTTGGCTAGGCATGGTGGTTCACGCCTGTAATTCCAGCACTTTGGGAGGCTGAGATGGGCAGATCACAAGGTCAGGAGTTTGACACCAGCCTTACTAGCATGATGAAACCCGGTCTCTACTAAAAATACAAAAAAATTAGCCAGGTGTGGTGGTGCATGCCTGTAATCCCAGCTACTCAGGAGGCAGAGGCAGAAGAAACGCCTGAACCTGGGAAGCGGAGGCTGCAGTAAGCCGAGATCTCACCACTTGCACTCCAGCCTGGGCGACAGAGATTAGGAGTTTCCTCAGAAAAAAATCCCAAGAACAAGGTAAGGCTAAATATAAGTATGAAAAGTCACTTAAAGCATCTTAGTGAAGTTAGATGGTGACACAGCCTGTCAGTACAGATATACATGAGTCAAGTGTTCTGAGACATCTACTGGGGTCTCCACCTAAACTGTAAGTTCTTAAATATTGTGTCCTATGATACCTACCAACTATTTTTTTTTTAACTGTTACTCTCTCAAGGTTCTAAAATCTGTGCCAAGATGTAATTCAACTACTATTTTGGTGTGACCCAAAAATTAATTTTGTTCACTCCCTAGCTACTTCTGATGTACCAGTTTCTGCAGTTACGCGAATGTGCTACTGATTAAGTTGTCTACCAACTAGGACAGTGTTTCCCAACTATTGTGTCTCAGAAAGCCTTCCATAGCACCTTGGTCTAGACTCGGCTTTCCCCAGACCTTGGCTACCTGATACAAAGGTGAATCTGTACACACAACCCACTCCTTGTTCCCACAGGTCAGAAGCCTTCCCTCTGCCTTCCTGAATGAGTCCAAAAACAACTCAGGTTTGGAGTCCACTATTGACTGTTGGTCTGCGTTTTTATAGATATAAGTCTTGATATTGCAAGTAGATTTTTACAATAGGATAAAAAAGCAAAGCCTCCAATGCCTACCCCACACAATACACAGACAAACAGAACAGTGCTGAATGATGTCTCTGAAATGTGCATTTGGCCAGGTGTGGTGGCTCACACCTGTAATCCCAGCACTTTGGGAGGCCAAGGCAGGCAGATTACCTGAGGTCAGTGTTTTGAGACCAGCCTGGCCAACATGGTGAAACCCCGTCTCTACTAAAAATACAAAAATTTGTCTGGTGTGGTGGTGCATGCTTGCAATCCAGCGAGTTGGGGGACTGAGACAGTAGAATTGCTTGAACTCGGGAGATGGAGGTTGCAGTGAGCTGAGATCATGCCACTGTACTCCATCTCAGAAAATAAGTGCATTCATGCCCTCTTTTAGAAGCCGGAGTGTCAAAGAAGAATGAACTCTTGAATCATTCCATAGGCTGGCACAATATCTTAATACACCAAAAATAGATTTTGGCAAGGCAGGGTAGCTCATACCTATAATCCTTGCACTTTGGGAGGCTGAGGTGAGATGATTGCTTGAGCCCAGGAGTTTGAGACCAGCCTGGGCAACATAGTGAGACCCTGTCTCTATACTTAGAAAAAGATTTCTACTTTTTTCATTGCACCTGACCTACCACTCCTATATAGGGAGAGAGAAAGAATGTTTTTTCCTATTATACATACCTATGATAAGGTTTATAAGTTAGACACAGTAAGATTAATAACAGCAATAGAACAATTATCACAATATACTGTAAGAAGACTATGTGAAAGCTGGGCATGGTGGTGTGCACCTATAGCTCCAGCTACTTGGAAGGCTGAGACAGGAGGATGGCTTGAGCCCAGGAGTTCAAATCCAGCCTGGGTAACAGAGACCCCACCTCTTAAAAAACAAAAGATGGCCAGGTGTGGTAGCTCATGACTATAATCTCAGCACTTTCAAAGGCCAAGGTAAGGAGGATCACTTGAGCCCAGGAATTCAAGATCAGCCTGGGCAACATATGGAGATCTCGTCTCTACAAAAAATAAAAAAAACAGCTGAGTGGGGTGGCATATACCTGTGGTCCCAGCTACCTGGGAGGCTGAGGTGGGAGGATCGCTTGAGCCCACGCCGGAGGCTGAGGCTGCAGTGAGCCATAATCATGCCACTGCAATGGAGCCCGGGCAACATAGCAAGACCCCTGTGTTAAAAATACATATACAGGGCCGGGCGCGGTGGCTCACGCCTGTAATCCCAGCACTTTGGGAGGCCGAGGCGGGTGGATCACGAGGTCAACAGATCGAGACCATCCTCGTCAACATGGTGAAACCCTGTCTCTACTAAAACTACAAAAAATGAGCTGGGCATGGTGGCGCGTGCCTGTAATCCCAGCTACTCAGGAGGCTGAGGCAGGAGAATTGCCTGAACCCAGGAGGCGGAGGTTGCGGTGAGCCGAGATCATGCCATTGCACTCCAGCCTGGGTAACAAGAGCAAAACTCCGCCTCAAAAAAAAAAAAAAAAAAAAAAAAAAAAAAAAAAAATACATATACATGTGAATGTAGTCTCTTTCTCTCAAGAGCTTATTGTACTGTACTCACCCTTCTCATGATCTGTCCATCTGGTAACCAAGACAGTTACTAAATGACTGTCAAGTGAGTAGTGTATACACAGCATGCATATGCTAGACAAAGGGATGATTCACCTCCCAAGGCAAGACAGAGCAGGACAGCAGGACGAAGTGGGATGGTGCCAGATTTCGTCACACTACTCAGAATGGCATGCAGTTTAAAACTTAAACATTGTTTATTTCTGGAATTTTCCATTTAATATTTTGGGACCTCAGTTGACCATGGGTAACACCACAGAATGTGAAACTGGATAAGGGAGGGACTACTGTACATTCGCCTAAGACAGTTCTGTATATTCTTCTGTTACCTGGGTAGCAAAAGCATACAGAAAGGTTTTGGGGGGATGCAGTGCATTGCTCTTCTGTAATGACAGTAATTTACTTCAAGACATTGCAGGGGAAGGGGTTAAAGGAGCAAAAGGGAAGAAGGATTCATTTCATGCCTGCCTATACAGAGACGTTTTCTTGATTCTACTTCTATTTTTAAATTTTTTATTTTTTTGAGACAGAGTCTCGCTCTGTTGCCCAGGCTGGAGTACAGTGGCACTATCTCGATCTCAGCTCACTGCAACCTCTGCCTCCCAGGTTTAAGTGATTCTCCTACTGCAGCTTCCTGAGTAGCTGGGATTATAGGTGCGTGCCACCATGCCCAGCTAATTTTTTGTATTTTTAGTAGAGATAGGGTCTCACCATGCTGGCCAATCTGGTCTTGAACTCCTGACTTCAAATGATCTGCCTGCCTCACCTCCCAAAGTGCAGGGATTATAGGTGTAAGCCATCATGCCCGGCTGCATTCTACTTTTGAACTTGGCCAGGAATGGTGGCAGGCACCTGTAACCAACTACTCAGGAGTCTGAGGCAGGAGAATTGCTTGAACCCAGGAGACAGAGGTTGCAGAGGGCCGAAATTGCAGCATTGCACTCCCGCTTGGGAGACAAGAGCAAGACTTCGTCTCAAAAAACAAAACAAAACAAAAAAACTTTGAACTAAATTTCATTAACAGTAAGCATATTAATAAGCAAACCCTTTAAAATGTGGCATAAAAAGGCTGGGAGCAGTGTGGCTCAGGTCTGTAAATCCAACACTTTGGGAGGTGGAGGCCTATGGATCACGGGAGCGCAGGAGTTCGAAACCAGTCTGGACAACGTGGCAAAACCCTGTCTCTACAAAAAATTACAAAAATTAGCTGGGTGGAGGAGGTGCGTGCCTGTGCTCCCAGTTACTTGGGAGGCTGAGGTGGGAGGATCACCTGAGCCCAGGAGGTAGAGGCTGCAGTGAGGCATGTTCATACCACTGTACTCTGGCCTGAGGCAGAGGGAGATGCTGTCTCCAAAAAACAAAAAAGAATAGCTGTAGGGGCTCTCTGGGGCTCCTTAATGTCTGATCTTCCATTATTTGAAAGTAATGTTCTCTATAGAGTTAATTACATAATAGCATTGTAATTACTAAGTACCCTTAAAATGATTATCAAAGGCTTTTTAAAAAATGGCAAATAAAATTGAACTCTGCAATCTTTGTTAGGTACGTTATAAAAATCTTTTTGTTTTGTTTTGTTTTGAGGCAGGGCTTCACTCCGTTACCCAGGTTGGAGTGCAGTGTTGTGATCATTGTTCACTGCAGCCTCAAACCCCACGGCTCAATCAATCCTCCCTCCTCACCCTCTTGAGTAGTTGGGAGTACAGGTACTCACCACCACAGCTGACTAACTTTTTAATTAATTATTTCTAGAGACAGTGTCTTGCTCTGTCACCCAGGCTGGAGTGCAGTGACACCATCTCGGCTCACTGCAACCTCTGCCTCCCGAGTTCAAGGAATTCTCCTGCCTCAGCCTCCTGAGTAGCTGAGATTAGAGGCACCTGCCACCACTCTGATTTTTTTTTGTATTTTTAGTAGAGATGGGTTTCACCATGTTGGTCATGCTGAGTTCAAATTCCTGACCTCAGGTGATCCCCCTGCCTTGGCCTCCCAAAGGGCTAGAATTACAGGCATGAGCCACCGCACCTGGCTATTTATTTTTTGTAGAGATAATGTTCTTGCTGTGTTGCCCAGGCTGGTCTTGAACTAATGGGTTCAAGCAATCCTCCTGCCTTGGCCCCCCAGAATGTTGAGATTACAGGCCTGAGCCACTACACTCGGACTTTTCTGTTTTTGAGACAGGGTCTTGCTCTGTCACCCAGGCTGGAATGCAGTGACATAATCATAGCTCATCGCAGACTTGAACTCCTGGGTACAAGCAATCCTTCTGCCTCAGACTCCCAAGTAGTTGAGACTACAGATATGTGCCACCACACCCAGATAATTTTTGTATCTTTTGTAGAGATGAAGTCTATATTGCCCAGGTGGGTCCTGAATTTCTGGCCTCATGAGATCCTCCTTCCTCAGTCTCCGAAAATGAAGGGGTTACAGGTGTGAGCCACTGTACCAGGCCCACATTACAAAGCATTTAAAGCCAGGCCCAGGAGGTTCAAGGTTGTAGTGCAACGTGATCATGCTTGTGACTAGCCACTTACATAGGAAGACCCACTTCTCTCTTAAAAAAAAAAAAAACCACCTCACGCCTGTAATCCCAGCACTTTGGGAGGCCGAGGCAGGTCGATCACTTGAGGTCAAAAGTTCAAGAACAACCTGACCATCATGGTGCAACCGAGTCTCTACTAAAAATACAAAAATTAGCTGGGTATGGTGGCATGCAACTGTAGTCCCAGCTACTTGGGAGGCTGAGGCAGGAGAATAGCTTGAAGGTGGACGTTGCAGTGAGCTGAGACCATGCCATTGCACTCCAGCCTGGGCAACTCTGTAATCCCAGCACTTTGGGAGGCTGGAGGGGGCAGATCACAAGGTCAGGAGGTCAAGACCATCCTGGCCAACATGGGGAAACCCTGTCTCTACTAAAAACACAAAAATTAGCAGGGCATGGTGGCACACATTTATAATCCCAGCTACTTGGGAGGCTGAGGCAGGAGAACCACTTGAACCAGGGAGTTGGAGGTTGCAGAGAGCTAAGATCAGCCACTGCATTCCAGCCTGATGACAGAGCGAGACTGGGTCTCAAAAAAGTACATAAATGAATAAAAATAAAAAATAAAATAATAGTAATAATAAAACTTCTTAAAAACTAAATTTTACTAAGCCTTTTAAAGGAGTAAGGCCGGCCGGGCGCGGTGGCTCACGCCTGTAATCCCAGCACTTTGGGAGGCCGAGGCGGGTGGATCACGAGGTCAAGAGATCGAGACCATCCCGGTCAACATGGTGAAACCCCGTCTCTACTAAAAATACAAAAAATTAGCTGGGCATGGTGGCGCGTGCCTGTAATCCCAGCTACTCAGGAGGCTGAGGCAGAAGAATTGCCTGAACCCGGGAGCGGAGGTTGCGGTGAGCCGAGATCGCGCCATTGCACTCCAGCCTGGGTAGCATGAATGAAACTCCGTCTCAAAATAAATTAAATAAATAAATAAATAAATAAAGGAGTAAGACCTCAGAAGTCGGGTGCAGTGGCTGATGCCTGCAATCCTAGCATTTTGGGAGGCCAAGGAGGGTGGATCACTTGTGGTCAGTAGTTCTGAGAACAGCCTGGCCAACATGGAGAAACCCCATCTCTACTAAAAATACAAAAATTAGCTGGGTGTGGTGGCACATGCCTGTAATCCCAGCTACTCAGGAGGCTGAGGCAGGAGAACTGCTTGAACCCAGGAGACAGAGATTGCAGTAAGCTGAGAACGCACCAGGCGACAGAGCTAGACTCCGTCTCAAAAAAAAAAAAAAAAAAAAAACAAAAAAAAAACCAATAAAAGAAAAAACCTTTAGAAAAAACATTACTCAAAATGTCTGTGTTTAAATTTTAAAACTTCCTTGGCTGACAGAAAACTGCGTACTTTCTTCTCACTACCATCCTCCTATTCCTGAATTCAACTTGCAAAAAGAAGCATAGACCAAGAAGTGTTCCTTAGGTGCTCAACAGAATTTAAAGAAGTAGGAAAGTTATGTTTACAATTAGAAAATAAAACATCTCTCTCAGTTTAGAAAAAAAATTTTCTTTGTTCATATTTTAAAGTACAGTTCTGGTTTTAGAAACTGTGGAAAACACCTATTTATAATGTCTTTGGAAGGATATCCCATTTTATAATTGTGGTCTTCCAGATTCTTCTGGATTACAAATGTTGAGATGTATTCCATGGTACTCACATTTCTGATAAATCCATGTTGTCTGAAAGAGACTTCCTTTCAGCTTTCTGACATCTTATCAAGAATTAGTAGAGGGGCAAGAATTCTTGCCCTGTTAGTTTCCACAATGCAGCCATTTAACACCATCTCATCCAAAATGATATGTACTTTATCTAAATTAAACATTATCTAGGTTTATATTAAGGAAATTACAGTTATAAAAATGTTAACATTCAGTAAAAATTTATGGCTTAACCTAGACTTTTCCTAGTATAAATTAGCCTAAGCATGAAGGTTTTTTTTTGTAGAGAATTTCTGAAATTAAATTTAAAACTGGTGCCCATATTAGAAATTGTTACCTTCATATATACATACATACCTAGTTTTACCTTGGTTAACAGGATAAGTAGG